TGTAAAATTATATGTATTATTTTATATTTTTTTTTTACAATATGAATATCATTCCATATATATATATATATATATATATATATATATATATATATTTAAAGAATAGTTAGAAATACAAAATACTACGTACATCAATAAAAGGACCTCGCAAACTCTTATGGAAATTAGATTTTGGTAAAATTAGATAAATCTTTGGAAATAAATAGTTTATGTAAAGCTGATCAAAAGTCACAATGGGCAAGATTCACAATAATCGACCGTTTAAGCGCTATTAGCGTTCAAAAGTCAAAATAAGACGTTATGTCAGTACTATTGTGGGACAACAATAGATTGCAATGGATTATTCTACAGAATCACACAACTAATTCTTTTTGTTAATACAAAAATATGTATTAATGTGAAAAATATGTACATGCATGTATATACACACATATATAAAGCCTGGCTAGCGCCAGTTGAGATATGACAGTGTGCTTAGTTTCGCGGTTATAATTCATATATGTGTGTACAAATATGCATGTACATATTTTTTTACATAAATATATATTTTTGTATTAATAAAAAGAATAAATTATGTGATTCCGCAGAATAATACATTGCAATTGACTGTCCCACAATAGTACTGACATAACGGCTTATTTTGACTTTTAAACGCCGATAGCGCGTAAACGGTCGATTAACGGTTTATTATTGTAAATCTTGCCCATTGTGACTTTTCATCAGCATCACATAAACTACCCGGAAAAAATTTCTCTTACAATGTCTTATATGCTCATATAAGAAACGATCTTACATGCTATATTGTGATCTGATCATGTATAATCTTGTATGATTATATAAGTTTATATATAATTATATTTTACTTACCGATTACCGATTTTATCCCTTGGTTTTTTAAGTGAAAAATCGAGGTTCTGTGTACATCGCGAGCGAGCAATCTCAAAATTTCCGAAAAAACACCCGGGTAAACCAAGGGATGATGTCGCTGATCGGTAAGTAAAATATCGGAAAAGCGGCAATGACTCAATAGTGTGAAACTCGAGTAGAAAAAGACCGGTTACGACATGTTTAATCCATGAAAACATTTATGCGGTCCGATTTGAAATTAGAGGCATTTAGTTATGATTCAAATTACGAATATCAATTTCATCCGAGAGTAATAATTGGGAAAATGGATGCAATATGTGATCATTGTCAAGCAAAAAAGTTTAAAACTTAAGCACCTAGAATGTGTTATTCATGCGGAAAAGTTAAACTACCGTCTTTAAATCAACCACCCGACACACTCCTTATGTTTGTCCACAATAAGGATATTGAAACACAAATAAAGTCGTTTGAAGAAAAACGACTCCCGGGCGAAGCCTGGGTAACCAGCTAGTCAATATACATATATTAGGAATTAATATATAAATCTATAAAAGCAAATATTTTTACTATATATTTTAATGCTGTATGAAAATAATTTTTTTATATAGATAGATATGTTTCCCTAAATATTTCATATGTTTCCTGATTGTATCTTATTTTTGTGTGACATATAATTTGCTTATTTAGAATGTGTTGTTTATATTATCAATTATATTGGACTTCCGGTCGAGGTAGGTAAGCTGGTGGTTAAACCGAAGCGAAGTGTAGAGGAATTAAGCGTTTTTTTTGCCGTGGAACCTCCTCCTCGGGGGAAATATCTGTTTCAGATCGGCGAGAAAAAAGAACTGAGCAATAATATATAACAGTTCAATCGAAATATAGACACCTGACGGGACTGGAGCAAAATTCCACATCCCAACCTTAAAAGTAACCTCAAAGGGCCAGGTGGCAGGTATGTTCGGAATCAGGCCAACATTCACCAAGACATACGCGAGAAGGAAATGACGTAGGAGTGTATGCGCAAATGAGAAGACCGTGAGAGAGCCAACTGCGAGCGAGAATTAGCACGTGAGCAACCCGAATGATCAAACTTCCGAAGTGAGTTCGTAATCTTGCATGGAGAGTAGAAGAAGCGGAGGGAGGGGAGAAGAAAAACAAGAGAGGAGCGTGGAGGAGCAAACCGAAGAGGTTTCGGCAGAGCAGCGAACTGAGTGGTGGCTGCTAAAACACGCGTCAGTAAGCGGCATCAAAAGTGGAAAGGGAGAAACTGATACAACCAAAGAAAACAGGCGAGGAAGAAAGACGAACGCGGAGAGGTTGGGAAGGGAGAGGAAAAGTAGTACAAGCAGTACAATTTCGATAGCGTCGTTGTGGAAGAGGGGTAGAAAAAGTGAGTTGGACGAAAGTGAAGAGGAAGGAGAGAGGACACAGCAGAAATTAAAGAGAAAAAGAGAGAAAGAAGACAAGGGAGAAGATACAAGCATAAAAGGAATTAAAAAAGAGGTTAAATCTAACAAAGAAGATAGTGAAAAAGGTTATAAAATGGAAGACATAAAAATACTACTTAAAGGGCACAAAAAATCCATAATAGACTAAATAATCGGGAAGTTAAACAGAAACAAGGAGGATGCAGAGAAGATGTTTGAGGAGTTCAAGAAGGAATTTGGAAGAGATAATGACGAATGAAAATAATGAATTAAAACGGAAGGTCGAAGTTCTAGAAAGAAGATGCGAAGCTTCTGAGAAGAAGGAAAAAAAAAGAATATTATAATAAAAGGTGCGAGCGGTAGAAAAGAGAATGTAGGAGAGGTAGTAAAAGATGTGTTTAAAGAAATGGGGTGCGTAGGTTACGAAAAAGGAATAAAGGACGTGTTCGAGATAGGAAAAAGAAAGGAAAAAGCAATTTTAGTAAAAATGGAAAAATATGAAGACAAGAGGAAACTAATGGAGAAGCGAATGAATATGAAAGGATCAGGGATTTTTGTTGATGATGATCTAACTATAAAAGAAAGAACGAGACAGAAAGAAATAAGAGCGTGGGCGAAGAATGAGAGGGAAAGAGGCACGACGGTTAAAATAGAATACAATAGAGCATTTAAGAACGGAACAAAGTATGTATGGAATGATGAATGCGGTGAGATAAGAGTAGGGAGATTTTGTGGGGGACAAACGGATAGAAGTTAAGAAGAGAATGAAGGATAGTGGTCTGGATAAGAAAAGGATAAGAATGATTGTGTGGAATGTTGCTGGAGTGAAGAGTAAGGATGAGGAATTTTGGGAATATTTAAATAATTTCGATATAATATAGGCTTAACCGAAACTTGGTTAGAGGAGAAAGATTGGGAGAACTGGTGCGAGAGAATGCCGAGTGGATGGACATGGATAAGTCAGTGTGCGAGGAGGGAAAACAAGAAGGGAAGAGCGATGGGGGGTATAATCACCGGGGTGAGAGAGGAGCTAGAAGAGGAGGAATATGTAGATACAACAGAAGGCATTCAAGAAACGACGAGTGGAAGAGGAAGAAGGAGAGAGAAATAGAAGAGATTAAGACAGAAAAACAAGAATGGGACTTTATAAATAGAGGAAGGAAGAAAAGAGAAAAGATATGCAAGCAAATTGAGTTGAAGGAGTGGGAAGAATACTTCATGAAAAACCTAGAAGGAAGTGAAATAAATCATGGCAAAATGGGAGCAAGAAATGAAGAAGAAGAAGAAGGAGATGCAATTGAACTGACGATCAAAGAGGTATTAAACGAAGTAAAGAAGTTAAAGAATGGTAAGGCAGCACGAGAAGATGGTATAAGAAACGAAGTATAGAAAAGTGGAAATGACAACCTAGTTAGAAATGCCACTGAACTAGTCAAGATAGTATGGGAAGGAAAAGGTTTTCCAGAAGATTGGAGAATGGGGGTGATAATACCGATACGAAAGAAAGGAGACAGAAAAAAGGTAGAAAATTACAGAGGGGTAGTACTTACGAGCACGTTATATAAGATATATGCAAACTGCTTAAATACAAAGATTCTAAAGGAGCTGGACGAAAAGGGTGGATGGAGGAGAACACAAGCAGGTTTTAGGAAAGGAAGAGGAACAACAGAGAATATAAAAATATTAAAACACATAATAGGAAAGAGGATCAAAAGAAAAGGAGGAAAATTGTTTGCTTTTTTCGCTGATCTGAAAGCAGCTTTCGGCAGATTAAATAGAGAAGAAATATGGGAGATGATGAAAAAGAGAGGAATAAGTAAAGGTCTAATTGATAGAGTGAAAGAGATTTATAGCGAAACTAGATACAGAGTAAAGATAGGCATTGGTCCTTCGAGCCGGATTTAAAATCGCGTTAGAGAACTCCGC